CTCCCTCAGTGAACCACCTCCTCCGATGGGCTCCTCACACAAGATCGTCACACCAACCCTTTATGTTAGCAAAAAGAAGTCATCACGAAGGACATGCACTTTCGGCAATGGACCAATTGGGTTTACTCACCGGTCGACGACTTCTGTGTGTTAACCGTTCATAATATTTTTTGGTCTGATTCAATTTTAATAACTACAATATTTGGTACTTTTTATCTCATTATATGTATTTTTAATCAAAAGAACTAATGTTAATCATGGCTAAAAGTAATGACAATATATGAAAAATATTAATATTAGAAAAAATATGTATGCCTATTTAAAATTTATAAATATTTGCAAATGTTTCAAGGATATACATGTAAAGCATATCGTGCATATCGTTCGATAAGAAGGAAGAAGTGTCGCACCATAGTAGGTTGAATAATCGTAGATATAGAAAAACTCTGAAGAAAAATAAAAAGAATTTAAGGTATACAAGAGATTTTATTCTTTATTTAATTTGACTATAGAGGAAGTGCTATTTCTTATACTTAATTATTTTTATAAAACGAATATTTAATTTTTTTCATAAGTTCCTATATTATTTATTATTTATTTATTTTTTTGCTGTTCTTTTGATACATGTACTTTGTTTAATCCACAATTTAAAGCTGATATTAACTAAGTACAGGACACTAGTACTCACTCCCTTTGTGTCAGGAGAAATATTCATAATATGAAGGTTGAAAGAGAATGAAGTAAATAGTCGTCCGTCGCTAAATACCGAATGAATTAGATGAAATTGGATTTGACACCTAAGCTAATAAGTTTAAATTTTTGGATATATTAAATTTGATATATGTTGACCTGGCAGTTTGATTTAGATTCATCATCATCAATTTCAATATGATATTAGAGTCATGGTTTAAATAAAATATGTCAAAAAAATTAAAAAAATATATATTAGCCAATTATAAAAAAGAAAATATGTTTAAATTATAGTTTAATCTATCCATACAATTAAATAATAGTGGTATTGAGAAAATATTCATGTGTAAGGTGAGGAGTATCTACTTTTAAAAATAAGAAAAAGATGTTAAGAGAAATATTCATGTATCAGATGAGGAAAGAAAGAGACTGGTCAAAGTCCGATTATATATATTATAGTTAAAATTATACATATCGAGTTCATATGGTAGCTTAAGAAACTTAAACTTCCAAATCGAATGGTATTGAATTTGATCTATATTCTCCCTTTCAACACTGTACCAGAGCCTCTTGTGTGGTTGACCTATGCTCTCATCTTTTATCACCCAAAAGAGGGGAAGCCAAAGAATAAGGAGAACGAACACAAACGAATGGATAAATGGAAGTTGTTGCAGGCCAACACCCATCAGATTTAACAAAACACTCCCTTGTTTGTCACCAATCCCACCTCCTGAACTCCCTGAGAACGGATAACACAACCACGGAGTTGTACTACGTGGCAGCCCCACCTCGAGGCTCTCCTCCAATAGGAAGCCACACAACGCCGGTTCTCCGATTCGCCACCCCCAACGAGTGGCGCCTGTTCACTTCATCTCTATCTACCATATCCAAACCAACGGTCCACTTCTCCTCCCAATTATTTATAGCAAAAGAAGACGAGAATTCCCAGAACAGGAGCAGTTTGATCTATCAGCTGGTTGATCTGATCCATGGCCACCACCACCACCACCAGCGCCACCTGCGGCCTCACCTCTCGAGCTCTCCTCGACCCAAAGGCAGCCTCGAGCCAGCTTCGGCCGCACTTCGTCCGCCTCCCGACGCTGCCGCCTCCACGACCGACCGCTTCATGGAGCCACCGGAAAACTGCTTCTCACAGTAAATCCGCTATCCTTGTTTGAAGATTACTCAACTGTAACCCGCATTGCGTCCACCAAAGTCATCGAATGCTGATATAGCTTCCTAACAGTGTCAAGGAGTGTCATCGCCATGGCCACCGGAGAAACCCCAGCTGAAGTATCAAGTGAGCTTCCTGAGGTTATGAAGACCATAAAAGATGCGGTCTGGATTACATCCCCTTGTGTTGTGTTTGTTTGAGATCGAGGAGATTCGTATGTGATGTAGCCTCTCTAAGATCTCAGCTGACTCTTCTGATGGACAGTGGGACAAGCTTGATGACAAGTACGCAGTGGCTTCCCTTGTGCTTGTGGGATTGGTAGCGCTATGGACGACAACCGGCATGATCTCGGTAATTAATGGCCTACCAACTACAAGCATAGAATTAGGCATCATGTCATCATATTTGATATGACTTTGAATCGATGCAGGCAATTGATAGGCTGCCCATAGTTCCTGGTGTTCTTGAACTTGTAGGAATTGGTTATACAGTGGTAAGTTCTTCTGCATCACCCTGCGAATATTCTTACTGATACCAGTGAGTGAGAGAGAATTTGACAGTTTCTTCACTAACATTGTTGATCAAATATGTTAACAATGTCAAGTTGTTTTTGATATCTATACAGTGGTTCGTATACTACAATCTGGTCTTCGAGCCTGACAGGTACTCTCAAACCCTACTTCCTAATTCAGTTCTTCTTTAAGATGACTGGCTTACTTACCTTGTGACTGATCATGTAATGCATGACTGATGGTGAAATTGAGACATCATTACTTTGGAAATAATACTTTCCTGATATCTGCTGACAATCTGATTGGTAACATCATTCAACTTTGATGAATTTGTTCTGTGTTCCTTCCTCTGTTTCTCTGTAAATATAGCCCTAGGAAAATTGTGTAAAGGAGATAGAAAGCTTCCTAGATTCTTCCTTACTGGCTACTTGTACTGCATCATAATGTATTGTGATTCAATCTTTTCACATTCTTGCTTTGATCATTGTAAAAGTCATATGTTGGCCTTTAAATGGACAAAATTTGTTATTGTTGTGATGTCCCAGGAATTCAAACAGGATCTTTATAGATTAACATAATATGCCCTTCAGATCTGATTAATATTTGTGTAATGATCATTGAGATGTTTGTATTTGTTAGGAGTGGAACATTTGATTCGGGAAAGTTAAGATTTGGTAAATGTGTTTCAGGGAAGCTTTGATAGAAAAGATCAAGGGCACCTACAGCGACATCATTGGGAGCCGCAGCTGATTTGAGTGTAATCACTAGAAGATCCCTGATGAGATTAATCCTCACTGCATGAGAACAGCTACTTCCTAGGATCTATTGGAATAAGATTCTCATGTTTGTGATATGTATCAAGGAATTCAAAATTTCTTGGCGAGGTTATGAATCTGTTGACATCTCTGTAGTATGTTATGGTTACTTCAAGCTCTTGCTTCATTTTGCTGCCTTTTCTTTTCTAGTCTGTGACAAGTGGTTGTATGGCCACCATTGATTCATCCTCACCGCTGTGATATGCGTGACGCACATGCTTGTAGCTTCCGAGCACATTGTAAGTGAGGTCGCTTCTTCCATTGTTTACGTTAAGCGAAGCAAGAAGAGAAGAATTCCGTTGTCAGAAACAATTTACATGTGATTTGGGAAGATGGTTGCCAACACGTGGACAACATCTCACCTCCTTCCTCAGCTCAATCATCCCACCCCCAATTTAGTTCAAGCTTCCTTAGCAGGTGAAGACATAGGTCGAAAACACGTACAACTAAGCTCAAACTGGGATAGGTTGGGAAGCGCCTCACACCTAGAAATATTAGAAGCCATCCTCTCACTCTTCAGCATGCGACTGATGCTATGTTGTAGAGACAAGTTGGGTTTCATCTGGACATAATAAGCTAGCATTAAAGTTACCCTGATTCGTACTCTCGCGAAACTAAGCCATGATCACCAACTCCCATAGCGTATAATATGATGCCACCGCTCGTGGCGATGCATATGACAGGTTGCTCATCACTAGAAGTGCAGCGTACTCCAAATAACCTATAAAAGATTCACAGATATCGACATTCTTCAACCCCCTTTCGAAGTACAGCCACCTTGCAGAGGATGCGGCATAGTGATCTCCAGTTTTGTGATTTGTTCTTGGTATCATAAGCTCCACTCGTCCTTCCGAGCGCCAAGTTGCATTTGTTTTGCTTATCTTTTCGTCGAGAGACGAGCTCGGTGGTTCGGGCGCTTGTGGGCATCAATGCTGTCGACTTCCCAAGCAGTCAACCTGCCCCAGTTGCCTCCCGTAAACGACATCACCGGAGATGCTTTCGATAAGTCTTCGGCGTAGTTCTTCCCGGTAGGTGTCTTCGAGGTGGCTCAGTGAACAGCGGCGGAATCATCCCCGGCTTGTACTGCCAGTTACTCTCTCATGTCATGGCTCGGTGCCCTGAAGCTGTTCACCAAAATGTCTCTCCGAGAGGATAAAAAGAGTGCTTTGTCATTATTAAGAACTGTACAACAAACATTCTTTTGAGAGCCAATCCGAATTTGTATAAAGTATATATGGGGAAATATACAGGTTTATGTATACATGCAGATGTGTATTTGAGTCGGATCGCGTCAAATCGGATCGGATGATGCTGATCCATATCCGAATACGACATCCGGGTTGATCAGACCCGGTCCGACTTGAGCTCCACTCCCTCGAAGTGGAGGTAAACGAATTCGGGTGCGGATCACTAGCGGACTCTTCGCCCGACCGACACGTGCGCCCGGTGCCACTCCCGAGCCGAGCGCGGCTCCGCTGCCTGCGTCGGAACAGCCTACAGCGAAGCCCTACCCGGGTCGCGAATGGGTCCCACAGCAACATAGATGGCAAAAAGAGGGAGGAGAGATTCCGGACGGGAACCACGGAGCACAACTTCCACCCGTTGGTTCCTACTCTGGGCTCCACGAGACATTGTGCGACTGTTTTCGTCCTGTACCCTACCGTTCTCTCGACGGCCGATCTACACCATTCTCGAACTCTTCCCCATCCAAGATTTTAAAAGAGAGGCCGACCTCCGACATGCCATCCCCCCCGCCTCGCACCCGCGCACCCAGAAGGCCTCGTCTTCCTCCCCTCCCCCTTCCCCTTGCCCCGCTCTCCGCCTCCCGACGCTCCCCCCACTCTTCCCCCATCGTACGGATCCTTCTCCCCCTCAGCCTACAAAACTCCACCGTTCTCCCCAAAATGGTCCATACCACATCTCCGCTTCTCCCTCTCCCATGTCTCCCCTCCCCCTCTTCCTCCTCTCCCTCCTCGCCCTCGCCTCCCCTTCCCCCTCCCCCTCTCCCTCCGCCTCCGCCTCCGCCACCAAGGCGACCATCCCCAAAAGCTGCGGCGAGAGCTGCGGCGGCCTCTCTATCCCCTTCCCCTTCCACCTCAACGCCTCCTGTGGCCCATCCGTCCCGGCCTTCCGTCTCGCCTGCTCCGCCAACGACTCCACCCTCCGCCTCTCCCTCCCTCCCACCTCCGACCTCCGCGTCGTCGCCTTCCTCCCCTCGGGCTCCCTCCTCCTCGACTACTCCTCTCCCGCCGCCGCCTGCGATCGCTGGTACGCCGACGTCAACCGCTCCTTCGGCCTTGACAGCAGTCACTTCTTCGCCGTTACTGCAGACAACCTCCTCCGTCTTTACGACTGCGAGGACTCCTCCATCTGCCGGGCGGGATGCGACCGCATCGGCCCCCTCGCCGGCGACACCGGTTGCGAGGGCAACCGTACCGACTTCGGCTGCTGCTACCCGCTGTCGGATGGGAGCGTGTGGAAGGTGGGGAACAGGTTCTCCGTGTTCGCCGGGTTTGGGTGCCGGGGGTTCTCGAGCTGGGCGGTGATGAGGTACGCGTCCGGGGATGGGACGGCGACCGTGGAGAGGGGGATCGAGGTCGAGTGGGCGGTGCCGAGGGGTTACGGCAACGGGACAGAGTGTGCCGAGGGGGCGGTGGTGGTGAACGCCACCGCGGTGCGCCAGGGAGTGAGATGTGCTTGTGCGCCCGGCTTGGTTGGGGATGGCTTTGCGGGAGGAGCCGGATGCTTCAAACGTGAGTCCTTGACCTGAAAATTAGTACTTTCTACTTCTCCTTAAACTAAACTAAGAAAAAAACCTTGCATTTGTGCATTTATAAGTGCTTTAGAACACCAGATCTGGTATTTTCTCTTCTGTGATCTTTTAAAGGTGGCTTAGTTTGAATAGATTGTATTAGAATGGTCTATTCATTAGTATTTACTTCGTACATTATCTCATATGTGAATTTGTCAAAGCCCAAATTTTCATCTTTGGTTTCTTACAGAAGTTTGAGGGCTTAGCACGTTTAGTTCTTCATAAAAACTATATTTCGACCATATTAGTTCAATCTTCTTGTCTAACTGTTTCATCTCTCTTAGTGGTTATCAGAATTATTTTTTTGCTGATGATCCATGGGCTTTCACTTCTTTGAGTTGAATATGGCTTTCACTTCATATTTTCCATTTATGGGTTTTTACATGGACGTTGCTTCACAAAACAAGAAAATGAAGTCCAAGACATCAATAAATGAGGAACAAAACCATCATTGCTCGTGTTGGTCTAAGCAAAGCTGGTGTAGCACATCTTATTTCCTAATTTTCTACTAAAGACTCTACTAATGACTACTGACTGAATTAGTTTGTGGGATCAGTTACTACCAATGGCTCAAGTCTCTCTCCTAGTTGGTACTTGATAGGACAAAGTAAAAGGCTTTTCAAGTGCTATCAAACCATATTGATGTTTTCTTAATCATTTCTCATTATAAAATTTTGCCACTTATCATCAAATATTAAGTCTCTCTTATTCTTTCATTAAAAAAAATACTAGTTTTTGACTGGTGGAACCTTTTTTTAGAAAAAAAGGGGAAATTGGCCTATACAACTCTGTAATTATTTAAAAAGATAAATGATTACTTCTGTTACTAGGTCTAGCTTTTCACATATTTTCGATGTTCATAGAGTTGATTGTTTTGTGTTCTCACATGTGGACACTGTTTTAATCTCCTGTGTAAAACTTGCTACATTCACTAGATATATGAGACTTGGATAGGATTACTAAGGTCACAACTTCCGTTAATTTTGTACTTTACAGCTTGTGGCAATGATGCACAAGTAGAGAATGATAGAGCCTGCTGCAAGGGGATCTTTTGCAAGAAAAGGGTGGTTGTTATTGCTGGTACATGTTCATTGTCAATTTGTCATTCTTGTCTTTTTGCTATATATTCGATGTAGCTTTACATTTTATGCTGAATTGCTCCTGTATTTCTATTTTTTCGTCAAACTTATCGAATCAATTTATGTCCATTTTGACAAGTCACCATAAATAGTTGCATAGCCTCACATGAAAACCAGATATTGATGCATGAATGTCTCATTCTTCAAGGGAGAACCAGCATGCATTAACATATGGAAACAGTACTAAAAGAATTAACTACTGATATCTATACTACAGTGGATCACAGACCATTTACAGGGTGTTTTATAAAGGTGTCTTAATCTTGCCTTATGTATGTTTCTCATCACTGACTTATTTATAAAGTTAATATATAGTCATGATGTTGCTGCTAGAGGTTTGAACTTTGAACATTTTTAAATATAACTATGTCAATGTGTCTGTTGCAAAATAGAAATTAACAAACTAGTAAATAGTTTAGATTGGGAAGTGGTTTCTAGTACATTCATTACTTCTAGAAGAGGGACTTCTGCTGTATAACTAGTTAAAAGTTACTTTTGTTGTAGTAAAAGAACTAAACACACAGTCTTATATGTATCTTGAGTAGTTATGGATTTATTCTTCAGCAAAGCTCCACATGGATCCTAAGTTTTTATATTCACATTTTTAAAAATTTCTTAAAGTATAGTAAGATAGCTACTAACCAAAATCCAAAAATAAATCTATCAATAGTCTATCATAATATTAGTTCCCTTGAAGAGTCCAACTTGTTATTAAAGTATGATTTACCACTTATTTTTAAAATCAAAAGTTTTCCGATATGATAGGCATTTTATCAAATACACATACTTCAAATAGCATCCTGATTTGTATCAGATATGTAGTAGTTATTGATATTTATAAGATACTAGGATTTATGTCCTTCGTATTAGTCAAGGTATCCAAAACTTGATGCTTTTTGGATGAAATATGTCACACTTCAAGGATACTTCTTGGAAGAACATTTTTCTTTTGGATCTTGGTCTTTTGATTATGGACAAGATTTAGGTATATTGCTTGGTGCCATTTGTTGTGTATACCTTATCTATCTTGTCTTTTAATTTGATGTATCACCATATCTATATCATGTTTCTCTTAAGAATTATAACATTCATGCAAATTTTAGAATGTATGTGTGCTTAGTCATATCTGAGTATATTGGTCTAAATTTGGACACGAGACAAATTAAATATCTGAATAGCTCAAATTTATAAGATAGTTATTGCAATTAATGATTCTGCATATACATGGTTCACTAATTTGTTATAAAAGAAAATTGTGGCCAGGGATTCCTATGGATTTTATATTGCAATCTTAATGAACTTTTTCTTTGTTCTTGTTTAACTTATGTTGGTTTTGAAGGTAGAATCTTCCAGGGTGCATATCTTCATTTATTTCTTTGAAAGAATGTCAGCTACTAATTTTGTGATACCTGAGAAAACTAGAGCATGAGCATCTTTCCTTTCTTTGATACCAATCTTTCTATTTTTTAATTCCATATTTTTATAATTAATTTTCATGCAGGTGTACTTCTTTCTGTATTTATTCTACTCATGACAGCCGCGTTATGCTTTTGCTTAAGAAGACCTATCAAGGAGAACATGTCAGATCTTGACCCAGCCTGCCTTCCCAAGATTATTGGAAAGGCATGTAACGCACGACAATTCACATACAAAGAGTTGAATGAAGCTACAAAAGGGTTTGAAGAAGAACACAAGCTTGTTGTTGACATTGTTGATGGAACAGTTCATTCGGGGAAACTAGGTGATGGCACCCTTGTGGCTATCCAGAAATTAAAATGCCGGAGCAAAAAGAACCTCAGGAAAATCTTGCATAGGGCAGAGCTTTTATCTCGTAGTTCACATGGAAATATTGCCCGGATTATTGGATTTTGTTTTGAGTCAGATAATACACTACTCATAGTACATGAGCATTTTTCGAATGGGACACTCGAAGAACACTTGCAGCATGAAAGAGGCAATGGTCTTAGTTGGTACCTGAGAATCAATATTGCTTCTGAAATTGCAAGTGCTCTTGCATATCTGCAGTATGAAATATCAACTCCTAGCTACATTGAAGATCTGAAGACCAGTGACATACTTTTGGACATTTATTATTCTGCTAAAATTGCTGGTTTCAAGTTCCTGAAATCTGGACTTGTCAATGGATCCTGTTCATATGTAGTCTCCCGTGACACTGATGTCGTTTATGACTTTGGTCTTATACTATTGGAACTGATTATGGGTTCAAAGCCTGGAAATATTTCAGAGGTTGTCTTACCTAAGATAGATGGCAGGAAGTTTCATGAAATTCTGGATCCATATCTTAGATTTGATAATCATCTGCCGCCACAGCGTGAGCAGTTGGAAAAGGTCGTAGGTGTTGTTGTACAGTGCTTATCAAGTAAGGAAAATGGTGGACCTTGTATGGTTGATATTGTGAAGGAGCTGATATGTATTTTGAAAGACAATATGGGCAGCAGTAGCAGAGTAGAGCCTGCATTGGAGGTGACATTTTCAAACTCGAGCCTCCTGCAAATGGTATCCATGTCTCCTGATAGCATGCATGCTTCTCTTTGCCAGAATGCCAACTAGCACCATATGGAAGAAGTTGCAAAGTTAAGGTACACTTTCTTTTTTTATCAAAACCAAGAAAGCCTAGTTCATCTGAAATGTATCTTCATCTCAAGGGACTAAAGCATGTTTGACTGGAGATAACCTTTTAATTTGTATTAAGTTTATGTAACAATGATGATGAAAACTGTACTTGCCATTTTGTGGTTAGTCTTAAATTGGCATCTGTATTTTTTTTTTCTCTTAACTTCAACGATGCACCGGCTTTGACACTGGGACTAGGAGCCGATTTCTATTGCTTTCTTGTTACCTTGTTTTTCTCCTTGGCTTAGTTTGTTCAGTTTTCCTTTTTTATTTAATTAAAATTCATTTACTAGGCAGAAGCTTCTTTCTCACTAGTTGGTAAACATTCTGTTCTCAGTTTCTTGGTACTTTATTCCTAGAATGTCGTTAGCCTTATTCTAATGCAGACTTACAATAGTGTATCTGAATTATTTCAAGTTACAGAATGCTTAACAGTGATAACTGGTTCAGTGATTGCAAACAGCCCGAACCAGAAAACCAATCTTTCAGTATTCCAACTTTTGCCAAATGGATAAGCTATATTCAATTTGATCTAAGGTCTGTTTATGCCATTTTATGGGTTTCTTGACATCACACAATAAAGAAAATTGTGCTGAAGCCTAAAAGAAGTCTGTTCTCAATCAACTGCATATTTAAGAACAATTGTAAAATTAATTCTTTGTTAAGGTTCAACTGAAACATGTTACATTACTGGGGATGGCAAATAAACTAAATGCTCCTTTGTGGCTTGTATTTGGCTGATTAGGTGTGCATTATATGTAAATGAGTTGATTTTAGGTTTGCAATTGGAGTCAAGGCTTGAGCATCACCCTATTTAAGGTCAAAAAGTTCACAAATGACTAAATATGGTACCAATATGAAATTGAACATGTGCACATATCTTGTTATATGGCCAAAACCTTTCTCTGAATCACTGAACGTACACTATAATTAATTATTGAATGTACACTATAATCAAGTTCTATAAAAAAAAAATAACTTTGATTGTTCGATTGTTTTCCAGCTCCGACTGTACATTATAATTAATTTTCAAAAGTTAGAATCTAATTTATCACTTCCTTATTCGATTGTTCTTTCAGCTCCCACCCATCACATGTTCCTTCATTTAAGCATTTTTTTATCAATATATTGTTGTCTGTTTTTCATATATTTTATATATCATCTCATAGGTCGTTAGTAATTTTATGAGTTTTATGTGAAAAATGACTTTACGTTTTTTTTATTCTTGAATTATGGTTACCCTTGAATTCTAATTCTTTGGAAGTGACCTAAGAATCTTATTTGATAGAACATGATTAGAAAAAATGTACAAAGAATTTTTCATCCATTAACAATATTTGAGAATCGGTAAACAGATCATCAATTGATTTTTTTGTTATCATCATAAAATATTTAAAATAACACTAAGTAAACTTATGCCTTCATAGATAATTCTATGTCAAATATCAAAGATAGTTTCACATGTAAAAACCTGATCAAATTCATTTCGATCTAAAGTACAATACAAAATATTTATTTTTTTAAAATCATTCAATTTATCTAAAGATTTTATAATTTTTAAAAATTAAATTTAATAATATTTTATAAATCATAATTATAAAAATAATAAAATTCTTATTTGTGTTTTTCAATAAGTATAATCCTTTTTGATTTTTTGAAAATATTATTGATTTTTTAAGTATTAATCCAAATGAGATAACCTTTCTATGATAACAATAGTTAGGATTATTATCATAACAATACCGATATCATAAGGAGGGGTTAAATTAGCGATATTATAAATAAAAAAATATAAAATTTTGATACTATTGAAAGATAATTTAATCAAGAAATAAATATGAGTAAGAAAATAAGTAAAGATAGAGTGACAAACTAATTTTATAGTGATTTGGTCTTCTTGATCTATTCTTTTTCGTACGCCATTAGCTTTCACAACTAATCTTGCTTGAACGGGTGAAAAACAACAACCTTTTATAACTTTCTCATTTTCAAGGTTTTAGAATCTCATATCTTCTAAGCTTAGTAACTCAATTAAAAACTTAAAGAAGGTAGAATTTAGGCAAAGCTTTAAGAGAGGATTTCAACACTTAAAAGTTCAAGAATTATTTCTCTCCATTCAATAAAGTGGGGTATTTATAGACCCTAAAGAACATCAAAATATGAAACAAATCATGAAAAATATCCAAAATCAATGGTATTTGTGGTTTTACCATTATACCAGGTGATACTATCATTGACACTTTGAAACGGTATCACTTAGGTCGTCCGCTATACTGGACAATACCATCATCAAGATTGGGTGATACTATTGCCCGGTAGTATTACTTTGGCTTTGGGTGGTATGATTATCTCCTCTAGGCTATATCATCGCCTATACAGTGATTCGACCTAATAAGGATCCAAATGCAACCCAAATTCAGTCCGAATTCAACTTGTTTCGATCTTAAGCTAACACAGTATAAATATAACCCAATTGAAGCTTGACTCAGCCCAAATTATCTTCAAATAAGGCTTTAAAATATTAACAACTTTCAACACTTTGCCAAAGATTTTAATATGTGATCCACTCTTTTGATATGTCGTTCAATTTTTAACATTTTGTTCAAACTTTTGACATATCGCTCAATCTGACTTTGTCACGATATATGATTTTTCAACATGAAATTTGATCATCTAGCACAATAGCCTAACCTTTGATACAAAGTTCAATTTTCAGCATAATAATCTTATGATATAATGCTCGACTCTCTAGCTTGACATTTATCTCTCGGTGGTCCTAATCTATGGTCGACGTATTTCCCGCATTACTTAACATAATATTACTTTATCAAATTTATTAATTAATTTCATCGTAAAAATTCAAAACTCAACAATAATTGGTTCAATCATTGCAAACAACTCGAACAAGAAAATCAATCTTTCAGTATTCCAACATTTGCCAAATAAATCAATTATATAGATCTATGAATGTCATTTTATGAGTTTCTTGACATCATTTACAATAAAACAAAATTATTCTGTGGCCTAAAAGCAGTCTGTTCTCATCCAACTGCATATTTAAGAGAGATTGTAAAATTGATTCCTTGTTAAGGTTCAACTGAACATGTTACGTTACTGGGGATTACAAATAAACTAAATGCTCGTTTGTGGCTTGTGTTTGGCTGATTCGGTGTGCATTATATGTAAATGAGTTGATATTAGGCTTGTAAATGGAGTCAAGGCTTGAGCATCACCCAATATAAGATGGTCAAAATGTCTACAAATGTCTGAATATGGTATGCTAATATGAAATTGAAACTTGCACATATCTTGTCGTGTGGCCAAAACCTTTCCCTGGATCACTGAATGTATATTATAATTAATTATTGAATGTACACTATAATCAAGTTCTATAAAAACACATTGGTTGTTCGATAAGAACCTAATTTATAACTTCTATAATCAAGTTCTATAATCAAGTTCCAGCTCCGACCACATTATAAGTAATTTTTTAGTTATAAGAACCTAATTTATAACTTCTTTACTGGATTGTTCTTCCAGCTCTGACCTACTACAACTTTCTTCATTATAATATTTTTCTATCTATTATTTGTTTTTAGTTTATACATCATCTCATAGGTCTTTAGTAACTTATGAGTTCTTTATGTGCAAGATAGTTTAGATACTTTTCTTATTAAATTATGGTTATTCTTACATCTCAGTTTTTAAGAAATGACCTAAGAATCTTATTTAATAGATCATGATTAGAAAAAGATTTATCAAGTAATCCATTAACAATATCCAAAAATTAGATAAACATATCATCAATTGATCATTTTGACATTTTATGACATTATCATAAAATGTTCAAAATCATACTCAAGCAATCTTAAGCTTTTATGGGTAATTTTCAAAAACTACCAAATATCGGAAATAGTTTCACATGCAAATACCTGATCAAATTCAATTTAATATAAACCATAATACGGTTATTTATACCTTTAGCATTTAAACAAAACATCTATTTTTGAAAATCATTTAATTTATCTATAGGCTTTGTGGATATTTTGAAACTAAATTTAATAATATTTCATAAATCATAATTTATAAAAATAATAAATTTTTTATTCATATTTTTTAATAAGTATAATTCGTTTTATTGAACATAGGAGAACGAGTGATAGAGTTCCTTTTGATTTCTTAAAAATATCATTAATTCTCTTTTGAGTGTTATTCAAAATAAGAGAACCTTACCGATTGTTAAGATTGATATGACACTAAGAGGAGGGATTAAAGATAGAGATACAAATCAATTTTATAGTGATTCAATCTTCTCGACCTATGTCTATTTTTTATTTTTCTTCCCTCAAAGCCCCAAGCATTTACAGCCAATCTTGGTTCCAGTGGGTGAAGATCAATAACTATTTACAATTTTCTCATTTTCAAGGCTAAATTATACTTGGCTACTCTCAAGAAATCTTATACCTTCTAAACTTAGTAACTCAACTAAAACCTCAAGAAAGTAGAATTCGAATATGGCTTTAGGATTTTAACACTTGAAAACTTTAGAATTATTTCTTTCAACCATACATAAAGTAAAGGTATTTATAGCCCCCCAAATGAAAAATATCTAAAATTAAGTATATTGGCGATATTATTGTCGTTCTAGGTGTTACTATCATCAACACTCTTAAACGACATCACATGGGCTATCCACTGTAACGGATAGTGCCATCATCAAGATTAGGCGGTGCTATCACCTTAAGGTAGTACCACTCTAACTCTATGTGGTACCATTACCTCCTCTAGGTGATATCATCTCTCATACAATGATTTGATCCAATAAAGGATCAAATCCACCCCAAATTCAACCTACTTCAATCTTAACCTAACATAATATAAATATAGCCCAATTGACATCTAAATTAGCCCAAATTATCTTCAAAGAAGGCTTCGAAATATCAACAATTTCTTTTAGCACTTTGTTAAGATTTTCAACATGTTATTCTCTCTTTCAACGTGTCATTCGATCTTTAATATTTCATCTAAATCTCTAGTATATCATCTTATCCTTATATACGCCGACTTTACTAGGACATCCAATCTTCTGATATGAAATCTGATCCTCCAACATGATGCCTGAATCTTTAGCACAAATATCAAGAGATAATTAAACTTTGTGCTAGAGGTTTGAGTATCATGTCAAAATTCAATTGCCCCTTCAACTTTAGC